GTGGGGTCTGGGTGTCTGGGGGCCCAGGTCCCTGTGTCTGGGTGGGTTCTGGCTGGGGTCTCTGTCTCTTGGAGACCTAGGTGCCCGCGTCTGGGTGGGGTCTGGGCTGTATCTGGGTGTCAGGAGCTCTGGTGCATGTGGGGGTTCTGGATGCACTTGTGTGAAGGGGCGTTTGGCTGTCTGGGGGTTCCACCTCTCCTCTGACTCCCATCTCTCTCTCCACACCGCCTCCTGTGCAGAGAAACGCGTCTCCAACACGCCCGTGAGGACGGTCAACGGGTCCCCCATGATGAAGGCAGGTGGGTTGACCCCCAGGCTGTGGGCCCCAGATCTCGGTCCTGGGGCACCAGCTGGGGTGGGGGTGACAGGGACTTGCTCTCCGCAGCGTCTGGCGGGGCCGTGGTTTTGGGGGTGGCGGCTGGACTGAGGCTGAGGCTCCGAGCCTGGGGTGGGGGCCCCTCTGCTTTGGTGCCCTGGTCCCACGCCGGCCCACGCTTCCCTGAGAAGACGGGCCCCACGCATGGCGGCTCTAACCGACGCGCCCTCGCGGCTTTCCACCCTAACCTCAAGGCTCGCTGCTGGGGCCCACGGGGGGTGGCGCTCACGCCTGACCACGCTCGCTGCAAATCTCACCTGCTCCTGTCCTCGGGCAGTTGGACTGGCTGCCTTGGGACAGAGAGTGAGCGCCCAGTCCCCGGAGGCAACCAAGCCGGGTCTGGGCACCGCTGCGCTTCCAAGAAGCAGAGGAAGGTCGGGGTTGATGCTGAGGGCCAGGCAGCGCTGCAGTCAGGCTTGAACCCTGCTCTGCCCCGTGGCCCCGGGGCCCTGAATGTCTCCACCTGCCAGAGGGGTGGGACCGAGGTACCTACCTCATGCTGGGGCCGAATAACGAGAAGTCATCACAGGTGGTAAAACCGCTGCTGTGAGCGAGCGAGCCGGACCGGCAGAGACGCCAGGCAGGGTCCGGGCGAGGTGGCTCAGGCTGCAGTCCCCGCACGTGGGAGGGCGGGCGGGTGGGACGCTCGGGGAAGCTGTTCTGGGCAGAGGCCGCAGCCAGTGCAAAGGCCTGGCCTGGGGTGTTGGAGGCACAGCCGGGGTGGCCCGTGTGGCTGGAGCGGCATGAGGAGGGGGAGAGGGCGGAGGGAGGCCCCTGCGGCAGGGCTGGCAGAGGACGCGGGCTTTCGCCCGGGGGCAGGCGGGAGCCATGGAGGGCTGCAGGGAAATCCGGGACCACGCAGCCTCCGTCCGACTCTGTGCTCACCGGCGCCCTCTGCTGACTGTGGGGAGAACAGACCGCAGACGGTGCCTCAAGGAGGAGGAGGGGACCAGGGCTGGTCGGGGAGGAGGCTGGGGAGGGAGGAGGCTGGGGAAGGAGGAGGCTGGGGAGGGAGG